AAAATGGATATAAAAAATAAAGAAGAAAGGTAGAGAAGAAATAAAGGTAAAAGGGGAGAAGATGAGAGATGAAAAAAAAAAAGATTGATATGCAAAGATAAAGGCAAGTAGAAGGAAGGACAGAGCAGAAGTGAAACGAGATGGAATATAAAAAAAGATAAAAGGAAGTAATGAAAAAAAAGTGAAAGGTAGATGAAGAGAAGGAAGAAAGAGAAGAGCAAAGGAGAGAAAGGAGAAAATGAAAATGATAAGTAGATTTAAGTAAAAAGATGTGGAAATAGAAAAAGGTAAATGAAATAAGTGAGAAAGTAGTTGAAAAAATATAAGAAAGATATTAGAAATAGAAGCAGAATATAAATGAAAATGGTGAAGAAGAAAGTAGGAAAAATAAAGAAATAAGGATAAAAACAAAGGAGATGAGGATAGAATAATAGGAATGATAAAGGAAAATTGAAAACGTAAAATAAGTCACAAGAATAATTCAAAGAAAATGCGAAGATAATTATGAAAAATGATCAGGAGATAAGAGTAAAAAAAAAGGATAAATGAATAAGGGGAAAAGAGAGAAGGATGATTGAAGAAATCAGAGGAATTGAAGATGTTATGGGAGGAGGAAAGAGAAAAGAGAAAAAGATGAAGAGATGAAGTAGGAGAGGAATGAAAATAAAGGAAAAGAAATGAATGGGAATATGAAGAAGAAGTGAAAGTATAAGAATGCACGAGAGAGAGTGAATATAGACGAGAAAGAGGTTCAGTGGAGAGAATAAAAAGAAAGGAGAGAAATGGATATAAAATACAAAAAAGAGGAAGATGAAAAGAAAAGGAAAGAAGAGAAGAACGGTAAGAATAGGTAAAGAAAAAAAGGAGAAAGAAAGGAATAGAATAGAAAAAAAAAGAAGGGCGAATTGAAGAAATAGTAAGTAAGAAAACAGAGAAATAAAGAAATGGATAAAGCGAGAGAAACAGGCATGGATAAAAAGAAAGTAACTCAGAGAGGATAAAATTAAGGAGACTGACGAGGGTAAAGGGATATAGAGAAGACGAAAATAAAGATGACGGAATAGAAGAAGAATAAAAAGAAAGAGAATGTAAAAGGGATGGATATGAAAAGGAAAATAGGATAAGAAAATATAAAAAATGAGGTGGATTAATAAAGGTTAAAAACTATAAAGAAAGAGAGAAAGACTATATAAAGGTAAAGATATGAGAATAAAGTAAATGAAAGAAAGAGATAAGGGGAGAGAAAAAAGAAGAAAGAATGGAGAATGGGAGGAGGGAAGGTAAGAAATATAAAAAAAGAAGAAAAGGAAAGAGTGATAAAATAAGAAATGTAATAAAGCCTAAGATTAAAAGAAAAGAGAAGTAAATGGAAATAAAATAAGGAAAAAAAAGAAGCCGAAGAAGAGTATAAAGTAGTAATAAAAAAAGGTAATTATAAGGAGTGTAGGTAAAGGAGAGTAGAACAAGAGAGAGTGAAAAAAAGAAAGGAAGATGAAAGATAGAAAGGATGTTTGAAAATAAGGTAATAAAGGAAGGAATTAATATTTGATTGTAAGTAAGAGAAGAAGATTTTATTGTTAAGGTAGAAAAATG